TTCTCTCTCACACACACACACACACACACGTGCACACATGAACACGCACACTCACACACAAACACACACACACTCACATGCGCACACACACACTCACACACACACTCACATGCGCACACACACACACACGCACGCACACTCACACACACACACACACTCACACACACTCACACACAAACACACACACACAGTCACACTCACACGCACACACACACTCGCACACACGCACACTCACACACACTCACACAGGCGTGTTCAGGCGTGTGTTGGTTCAGGATGTTCTGCTGCTCTCTCAGGTCTCACATGTCTCAGCAGACTCACACTCACAGATGAAGCTGTTTCTCTTTTAAAGGAGACTCAAGTGAGACCAGAACAGCTGCTCATGAGACCGGCAGAGACTGTGTTTGCAGCAGAGCAGTTTAAACCCACAGCTAACAACTATATGTTCTCAGAATGTTTTATAGGTAGACGCCAGATTCAACCGCTCCAGAACGGTCTGTGTGTCGTCACACAATAAATATCAACGAGTTTCAAGATGCAACAACTGGTTGCCAGATGCCAACCCTGTGCCACATTATTACCTCGGGGCTCGCAAAATCGCTAGCCCGACGTCCCGGGGCTATTGTGTTTTCCAGTCGGGCTACCAAAATGTATCGCCACTCTGCCCGACGGGTATAAGAAATGTCTTAATTATAATTTCAAGAGGTCTTACAGTTGAGGACGGAAAGACGAGTCACGATACGGCTGGATTAAACTTCAACCCGTTACCGGGGAAACAGCTATATTTCAGCACTCCTAAACGAATCTGAAAAATTAATTTGCATTTCCAATAAGCCTTTCTTTGTGATTATGGTCAGATCAATGCAAATATCAACTCATGTTTTTACGCAGCAAACACAGAGTTGTAAATAAGAAAGAAGTTAACATGCCTTCTAAAAATCTACACAAGTAAGACAGTAATAGTATATTTATACGTTTTAAATTAATTTATATGCTTGATTTATCCCTTTTCATAAAGGCTGAAATGCTGTGGATTTTTGCTTTTGTGAAAAGCTGTATCTGAACTGTTGATCATGTAATTGTATGGCTCAGCACTGTATGTAACCACAGACATTGTCCAAGCCCACTCATACTGTGTTCATTTGACTTCTGCAGCTCTTAAAGGGATTGTTCACCCAAAAATTTTAATTCTGTCATTAATTACTCACCCTCATGTCGTTTCAAACCCGTAAGACCTTCGTTCATCTTCGGAACACAAATTAAGATATTTTGATGGAATCTGAGAGCTGTCGGACCCTCCCATAGACAGCAACGCAACTGAAATGTTCCCAGACTCAGAAACGTATTAAGGAGATCGGTAAAATAATCCATGTGACAATTATACGAAGCTACGAGAATACGTTTTGTGTTTTGAGAACAATTCGTCTCCTCCGCATCACCCTGGTGCCATTTTGGAGAATATCAGCTGAACATAAACAACATATGCTGTTCTGTGTCAGCTGCGTCACGCGGATACGTTTCCTACGCTGTTGTGATTTGATCTGAACGGAAACAGTGCTACCGCTTAAACGTGCGACTCTGAAGCGCTTCCTAAAGTTCCACCGCATCGGATCCTCTGTGACCCGCAGATCTTCATGAGTGGGTTATTTGACCATCATAAGATGATGAATCTGTATTTGTTGAGCACTGGACCTGATAGTTCAGCAGTTCAACTCAAATGACAATAAGATCAGCAGTTTTGTGAAGATGAAGGACGATGAAGCTTGGATTATGACGAGCATCTGTTCAGCAGTGTAGAAGGTGCCACATATGAATGATGTTGATGAGTAAAAACTCTTCTGTTCCAGCGGTGTGCTCATTAAACAGTGTCACTGACTGCATGTGTGAGATCTGAGCTGCCGTTACTACACACACCCCTCCATCACCAGCTGAACTTCACAGCGTGTGTGTTTGTGTTCACCGTCTCTAACCAATCAACACAATCCACCCGACTGCGTCTCTGTTTCATGTGAAATTATTTCAGGCAGAACAGAGCCATGATGATGAATTCTGTTGCTTTTTTTCGGTTCTTTATGTTTTTGCTGATGTTGACCTACTAGAAGGTTTGATTTTCTCTGGACCACCGACACACTGCTTTTGTTGAGGTCTCGAAGATGGTTTTCAATGTTCTTTGCTGCAGAATTGACACAAAGCACAACTTCAGAGTCTGAGGAATATTCATGAGAGCTTCAATACACACACACACACACACACACACACACACACACACACACACTCCCCTAAACCCCACAGACACTGCTCTGAAACCTTCACACACATCCAGGTTTTCTCTGAGGAATGGTTTATTAATCTGATTATACATGCTAAAACATTATTTTGTGTGGACAGTGTGAGAAAGATTCAGCACTGACCTGCAGTTTCTCCTGTAATTACTGAACCTCCTGCAGGATTTCATCAGTAACCCTGAACCTGAAGCATGATGACGCTGATGTCACAGAGC